GTCATAGGTTTAATTAGTAAAACAAGTCAAATATATGGTCCTTGCATTGTTGGAGAAAATAAATACTAAACATCTTAATTAAAATACTGAAATACTTTCAATTGTTTTCCATTCCTAACTTCTGTTTAATATATATTCAACTATATATTAATATTATTCCTGCTTTAGTTCTTTCCTGTTATATAATAGTATTTCCGTTATTGAGCATATGAAATAAGACAATGTTTTAAGAACAGCTAATGACTTTCCTAAAGTAATAATGGGCGTGGATCAATGGTGATAAATTTTATTAAACAAATGAATAGGAATGTTCATATGAAACTCAAAGTGAATGAAAGAATGTGTGAAACATGATGTATATGAATGGAACACATTGTATATGAATTTTGGATACAAACCAATATATTTTTTTTTAAAAAAATTCTCTGAATATACTGAATTTTTGCTCTGTGGAGTATGCATTATTTGGGATTTTTTTAAGTATTTTCTTTGATTGTATGAATTTCTAATGAAATATTGTTGTGGTGTTGGAGAACAGTACTGCATGTTCCATGGACTGATAAGAGAATAAAAAAGCATATTTTAGAGTTAGTGATGCCAGTGTTGCACTTAAAGGCTCCTTAGAGGCAAGGAGGGTGAAACTTTACTTCACATACTTTGAGCGTATTGTTAGGATGGGCCAGTCCCTGGAAAGGAACATCATGCTTGGCAAGGTAGAGAATAAAAAAAGATGATGGATCCATCTAAACAAGATGGATCAAGTGACTATAACAACAGGCTCAAGTACCTAAGTAAGATATAATGACAGTGGCATAAGATAGGGCAAGATTCAAATCTGTTCTTCATAGTATCACTGTGAGTCACAGGGAAATCAATGACACCTTGCAGCAATATACAGTTTATATCAAGATTTAACATATTTGTGCTTTTATTTATTTTTCTTAAGTAAAGCCCAGTTGGATGAGTTTTGGTTTGTTTTTTTTCTTCTGTATTTGCAGAAATATAATTATGGGTTTCTAAAATTTAAAAGGGAGTTTGGGTGCCCAAACAATTAGTAAATTTCTTACTATTAGTAAGAAACTGCTCTGCAATCCCAAAGACACGTGGTTCAAATTCACCAGCTATTCTGTGAGAGAAGGATGGATAATTTACTCTTATGCAATTTATTGTCTCTGAAAACCCACAGGAGGGCCAGCGATGGGTTGGTTCTGACTCAACAGTACACCACCACCACAACAACAATATCTAAAAGGGAAGCTCTAGTCACCTGCTGGTAAGAAGCTGTGCTGCAATCCCAAAGGCATAGGGGTCGATATGACGGCACATAATAAACAGTAAACAAAAATCATGCTGTTTATGAGCAACTGTGCACACAATGTAATGCCAAAACTTAAACTCTAAAAATTTTATCATCTTATATTACATTTTTGCTGTGACCTGTAAAAAAATGCCTCTGTTATTAGTAATTACCTAAGATTCTCTTCCTTTACTTTTTCAGAATGAAGAACAAATTTTGGTATTTTGAGTTTGGTACATCCGAGACTTTCTCAGCCACCTGCAAGAAGCTACATGAATCTGTAGAAATAGAAGTAAGAACAATAGATTCTCTTTTATAATGCCATGAAATGACTCCAGTTAAGTAAATATGTTTATACCTTAATCATGTAAATTCATTATATGAATCATAGTTTGACTTATGATTCTAAAATAATATTTCCTTCATTTAGTGGGAACTTGACACCATCTAAAAATAATAATGTGAAGTTAAGTTTGAGTATGAGATGTTTTACTACAGTATGAAAGAATGAGAGATAGAATACAACTTTAAAAATCAGTCGAGAAGTTCTTGAATATAGTGTGGATATAAAAGTATAAGATAAAATGAAGTAGCTGAAGAGAAAGGAAAAGAGAGTTACATGATATACTTTAAAAAGTATTATTTTCAGGTCCCAGTATTTTATAACCTTTAAAACACAGTTCACAAAAATTGTACTTACTTTCATGATTAAAGGTTAAAAAAATACACCTTTCCATTTCATTCCCATTCATTAACTAAGTTTTCTCCGTTCCTAAGGTTGCCATTTCCCCGTTACATTAATAAAGAGTGGAAATGCCAAGAAAGAGAGCAAGTATAGCAAGATAAGATACATTTAAAAAATATTTGAAGCAAATGGGTCTACACCACAAGTGTAGACACCCTAGGACTCAAAACTTAGGAGACATGTTCTAAAAGTAAAAGACTTAGCTATATCGAGAGATTCTAGAAGTTAAAGAAAAAGGGGAAAGTTACATTTTATAAGTTATAAAGAGTAACACAATGGGTTAGAATTATGAAACATGAACACTTAATGCCTGTTGACAGGAATTTAGAAATACTGTTTTCAACACTTATCACTTTTAAAATAAATGCATAAATGTTGTCATGACACCCAACTCATTAGTAGCATAGGTAATAAGCTTAGCTAATGAAAGTTGTTATGGGTCACATAAGATCATAATGAGTTGGCTGTCAAATAAACACAGCAAGGGAAGGATTTACACTCAACGTGAACTGATCAACTATTCATAGTATGACATTCACACACACACACGCACACACACACACACACACGGGGTGGGGGGGGTGGAAGAATATAACATTCTCCCTTCTCAAAATCAATTTTAAAAGTTGCTTTATATAATAGATTTTTAAAAGTTCTTACCTTTAGAAGCATATGCTCAAAGCAAATCTTTACTACAAGCCAAATGAAATAATGTTTTAAAGTATGGCTTCAGGTGCATTTTATTTAGGCATTAAAATCTCCTGCATTGGGCTCTCCTCTTTGTCCTTAACTGATCTCTGAGCAAACGTTGAAAAACTACTGATATATAAAATACTATTGCTGTTGCTATTGTGTGATGTAAAGTCAGAAACGACTCATACCTGGCCCTCCATGCATTTTCAGAGGCAATAAATTGCAGGAGAGTTGATTACCCATCTTTTTATCTCATGGATCAGCTGGAGGATTGAACTGTGTGCCTTTGGGCTGATAGCACAATTCCTTACCACTAGGCCACCATTGTGCTGCCAAAATAGCATAAATACATATCCAAAGTAATAAATGTTCAAGAAAATATTGAAAGTGTATAGCATTAATGGGGGGGGCAGAATCTGAATAAAAATAAAGATAGAAAATTTAATTTTGAAGTTATAGTTAAGAATAAATTTGAGTAGTTTTAATCACAGAACTTTATAGTAAGAAACTATTTGTAAAGCTCCCCCGAAATTTGGGTAACTGGAACAAAGTTCTTTCTCTTGGTTTGTGTCTCTACCTGTCCTGCACATTGGGCTTCCTTGCTCCACATGTACTGGTTTTTCTGGGACCAAGCAATAACATCTCTAAATCCGAGTGAGGACTCTGCCCTTCACATCTCACGTTACATATCCAAAAAGACTGTCATGTTTGGTTTTCAGTTCTAAAACTTGGAGTGTGTGTGTTTATGGATTAGATGCAAATCGGCTCATATGCTCACTTTTTAATGAATCTAGTCTATCATATTAGCAGAATATGCCTTTCTACCCTCAAGGTTATTTCATAATTGAATATAAGAAAAAGAGCAATTCAGAAATTTGATTCTGTTTTCTGCTGCTTCCTATTTGCTATAAAATTACAGTTTACTAGGCTTTGAAAAATATGTAACAAGTAACAGGAATATCTAGAGTAATGGATATTTCTTTTATGCCCTGCTTCTTCAGAAACAGACAATTTGGTGTCTGTTCATTTACTCTGTATTCTTCTTTCAAGTACAGAGTCTTTTCTAAGGAGAAGATAGAAATGTCATGGGATAAACAGTAACAGCTAAGAATTAGTTGTTATTGAGTGTATATTATGCTTGATACTTAATGATACACATTCATAATCTGATTTTGTTTACATCAAAATGCTACAAATTAAAGAGATATCATTATATTTCTGGTGTGGATATGAACACATTTCTTTAATTACTTAATAAAAATAAGAATCATGTCACTGCCAAGATGTTTCAATCTTAGGAAAAAATAAAATGAAAATAAAAGTGAATATACACATACATATGCTGAGAGAGAACCAGAAAGTATGAATTTTTAATTTTAAGACTAGAGTTATCATCTGGCTTTATTGTAAAAGATTTAAAAATTAGTAAGTGATAAAAATCCTTAGTATAAAACAGCTAGTAAAAAGTATTTGAAGAGAACTGGCCGGAGATTGAAGCTCCAGAGAATTTTATTTTGCTCCATTCAGCAAGTGAAATTGACGAGAGAATAAGAAAGGACATTCTTCAGATTTGTCTGTCTTTTGTATGTCAGTGAGAACTGAAAGGATAGGGTTTTTAAACTCAACTGTATTCATCCCAAAATGCTTACACCTGTTTCATGATTAAGTTATCTTAAAAAGCTAGATGATCCCAGTTATTAACAAAAGCTAAGGCAAAGGGAGTTCTTGTGGACTAGTGGCAAGAAATTACACTGCTAACCCTAAGGAGCGCAGTTCAAATCTGCCAGTAGCTCTGCTGGAGAAGGTGGGGCAATTTCCTCCTGAGACAGTCGGACTGATTTGACAGTACACAACAAGGAAAAAAAAATTATAAACGCAAGGCAAGTGTCCACCAGACAAAATAAATTAGCAGAATTTTAAAGACAAGATTCATACCACCTAATAGTTGGAAAAGCAGAGAACATGTTTCTTGAAGGCAATAGGACAGAATTTCCCAGCTATGTTAAAATCACCCTGAAAGCTCATTCAGTTCATACTGGAAGGATTTGTATGCTTAGTAGTATTCTTATTGCTAAATTTCCATCAAGTCTATTTTGACTCATGGTAATCCCAAGTATACAGATTATAACTGCCCCATTGGGAATCCAAGGTCGTAATTTTGAAAACTTCTTCAAATCTACCAGGTATTCTGTGGGGAAAAGATGACTAGCTTACTCCTGTAAAGATGTGCAACCATGAAACACATTGGAGGGTTGCCATGAGTTAAAATGACTCAAAGGCAGAAGTTTTGATTTGAAGGTTAACTTTTGGAAGCAAATTGCCAGGTCTGTCTTCCAAGGAACCTCTGGAAGTACTTCCAACTTTTTGGTTTGTTGTCTAGGGCTTAACTGTGCAGCTCAGGGACTCCTACACCTGCCAAAACTGAATCCTAAGAGTAGTGTAATTTAAATATTAAGGAATCCAGGTAAAAGTGTTACATAGAGGAAAATCTGGTGTCACCAACCTCTTTGAAATGCTGAAGGACAAAAATGCCTTACAAAATTGCACTTAAAAATCCAAGTGCATTTGACCTACACCCTGATCTTTAACACGGTTTTACATGTATATTGAAGTTAGACAATGAAGAATCAAAGCCTTTAAATTAATTGTAGTGTTGGCAGAGTATATTGAATATACCATGAACTGACAAAACAACAAGCAATTCTGTCTTGGAGAAAGTACAATCAGAGTGCTCCTTAGATACAAAGATAGTAATAAATCATATATTGGTCATTTTTAGGGCATGTTTTCAAGAGGCACTATTGTTGTGTGCCCTCATGTTGGAACTGACTCATATCTGACTGTCCAGTGGGTTTTCAGAGGCTCTCATTGTAACTAACTGGTGGATTCAAACTGCATGTCTTAAGGCTGGCAGCAGAACTTCATACCATTAGGCCACCAGAGCTCCCTCAAAGGGTACTAGTCATTGGAAAAAAGACATCATGCTTGGAAAAATGGAGGGTCGGCAAAAGAGAGGAAGACTCTCAACAAGACGGCAACAGTGGATTTGTATGTCACATAGTTGGCAAGCTTTCAGTATGATGTTTATAGGACGTCTAATTGGATGATGGAAGCAGGAGTGGCATCCACTTCCTTTACAACATGCCTCTGGAAACTTTATGAACTGATAAATTTTGATAGTTGTAGAGCAGCTTCAGGCTTTTTGCTCATAATGTCTTTATGAGTTGTGCTCGACTCGAAGGCAATCAACAACACAACAACAACAACAATTGGATAATACCTGAGATCACAAGTAACAACAACAGGTAAAAGTGTGGCTGATATAATGGGACAAAGAAAACAAAAGTTGTTTTCCTAAAATCCGAAATGAAGATCAACTACTCCAAAAACGAAGAAAAGTTGTAGGGAATGTTGTAGAAAGGAGATTCAAGGAAAGGGTGAATGTCTGTATATTGTTGACATGTCTTTAAGAGAAATGTGTCATGCTTTTTCTTAATGAAAGGAGTAAGGAGTAAATGATACCAGTATAGAAGTGATTGACCAACCGATATGCTTATTGGAAGCTCTTTTAAGTAAGATAAGTTGTGGTAAGGATTTCTAATATACCATCAATAATTTCCAGCATCCATAGGATCAAAACAAAACAAGAAGCCATTGTGCAGAACTATACTCATTTGCTGTTAGTATTTACAACTAGTGCTTTAATGGTTAAACATCCCTCTGTTATTGAGTCTTTTCCAGTATATAGTGGCCTGGTAGGGCACAATAAACTGTACCGCGTGTTTCTGAGGCTTTACATTTTAAAGGAAGCTGACTGCCGTATCTTTCTCCCAAGAGAGTGACTCGTGAGTTAGAAGTACTGACCTTTTGGTTAGCACCTAAGAGTTTCAACCACTGTGTCAGCAGCTGTTTTCATAGAATCTGCTAAAAAAAGAAAGAAGCATTTGTAAAACCATGCTTTGCCGCTGGTACTTACTAATGGCTGATGCTTGATATCTTAATAAGCCACAGTGACTCTCCTTAAGAATATCCAGCCATCCTCAAGTCAGTGATTTTCTTATTATTCCTACCAACATGCTCAAAAAACTGTGCATCTATATAAGTTACAGGGCACCTATCATCAGTTTTTTTTGCAAGGTTTGGGCTTCTTTCCATTGGATTGTAAGCTAACACTAAACTGTCTCATAAGACACAGTTCTGCATTACGTTGTACTTTATAGGCAAATTATAAAATATATTCAACACATAAAGTTTAACTACAACAAGAATGTCAGTTCCACCACTTTACAATATTAGAAAGCATTATGAAGTTCTTTGTGTCTAATATGCAGGATTACTATTGTGACTACATATACGATTTTGTCTTATGTCAAAAATTATCCAAAAGCAAATCTATTTGACATTCCACTGTCCCTCATTGAATGCAATGAACTAAACAACACTTTTTTTCAGTGAGAAAATTTACATCATTTTTTAAACTCCAAGCATAAAATCCAACACAATACCAAAAAAAATAATAAAGTTTAGCATTAGTTGTATCACATTTGATTTATTATATATGTATATATTTCCCTCCAAAGTTCTACACATATTTTTAATTTTCCTGTCAATTCGCATATTACTAAACTCTGAAACACTAAGTTTACATGAAAATCTTATTTTTAATAGTTCTGTATAATATGACCCAAAGCACATTTATAAGATAGTATTAAATACATAGATCAGAAAATTAAGTTTTCTTCACAATAAAATCTATTTCCAAACTGAATGGTGTGGCAAAGACAACATAGCACTGCACTCCGCAAACAACTTCTATGGAGCTATATGTTAATGTCCTTTATTGTACCTACTAAAAATATTCAGAATTTATTGACTACCTGAGGCGGTTGGCTTTTAAGCTTTTATGTTTTTTTCTTGAGAACTACCTTTTTAAAAGTCATAAATCTCCAAAGAGGATGAAAATATTATCTGACACAGTACTGTAACTTGTTTATATCTCATAGCTTTCACCTCAGCTTTTATTTCCATGCACTCAACTGGTGTGCTGCAATTTCTGGTCTCCGTCAGACCCATTTCTGAAATTTTCCAGACTAATGAACATCACGCTAAAGCAAACAGAGGAAGGGAGCCTGGGGTCAAGAACTAGTGGAAACAAATCATTAATAAATAGCAATTTATTTAAGTACATTGTCCTGCTCTCACAGGAACTGCAATGTTCTTCGTCAGTCCTTGTTCTTTTGTGACTTCTTGATTTTATTTTTTTCCATTTTCTCAGAGAGCTACTTACTGTTTCCTGAAAACTACACGGGACAAGAGTCTAAAGAGTGAAAACATGGATAATAGTATACATTGATGTTTTTCAATTGTCACATGTAATGCTGCTCCTTCAATTAAAAGGAGGGGGGACCTATTTGCAACATACCCTCTATTTTTTCTCCTGCTATAGATGAACAAAGAAATACTCCTTTACTAATTCTGAAAGTAACTTGTCACAGTGGGGCACTAAGGCCTAAGTCAAATAATTGTCTTAGTGTACTACCTGCTGTGTTCAATATTGAGTGAAAATGGAAGCTGGGCTCTGGCTCCAGCTTATTTCACAATTCTTCTGTTATTTAAATGATTTTAGTCAGTTTGGGGGAAGCCAGACCTTTATAAATTAACAGCAGGGAAATACCAAAGGTGTCAGATTGCATATTTATCATCTTTTTCGTGTAATACTTAAATATGTATTAAGAAGTGACTGACATAAATTAGGCAGATTTCAGAAGCCACAGGCCGTGGCTTGTAGAGGACCCCCTTCGGCTTGACATTTCATCCTTGTCAAAGATCAAATTATTTTAATTTAGGCTGCAAATTATAAGGAATGAAGACTTCTTTGTGGGAATTCCCTGTGGTAATCTGACTTTTGTTGTTACTGCTGCTTGTCAGTGTGCAAAAGATATAATATGCATGCAAATAAGGTTAAAAAATATGTACTATCTAATTATCCAGCCAGTACATTCCACTCGAAGACAGTGGGAGGCCTGACACACAGTATGTGTTTGATTCATTGAGGCCTGCAGGGTATTTACACAAGATTACTTTTAATTATGAAATTAATATCTGTTTATCTAGAATGTATGGCGGTAAGTGAGTATACACATGAGCAGAATCTTTTAGTAAAAAGAAATCATCTTAATTTAATACATAAAAAAGGAGGAAAAATAACTTGTCTCTGAATTTTTTTTCTTTTTAAAAAGTAGGCATCATCAAAACCTTGATTTCTCTCTCGTTGAAACAAATTGAATGAAACTTGGCATTTTGTCTTGAATTTGTTTCCACCCCTGCCAAGTAGGCTCAAGAAGTGTTGCTTTACTTCACAGTTTTGGGGGTGTGTGTATGAGAGAAGAGAGAGGGGAGGGCATAGAGGGAGCATAGAGGGAGAGAGAGAGAGAGAGAGAGAGAGAGAGAGAGAGAAAGGATGTGGGGAAAAATTTTTAATTGTCATTGATTCAGTTGAACATTACTTCTTCTCAGTCTCCACATCATGGTTTTTATGAGGGAGAGTCTGTTAGAGTGATCAGCAATATTTTTTTTCTGAAGTGAAACAAGGTTATTGAAACAAATCCCACTGTAGATAAATATCATGGCATTTTCATCCCTAACATAGGTCTTTGTAAAGCAAAATGCATTGTTTCAAGTCACCTCCCCACTTGTCTTATTGGAAACTGAACAAAAATTATTTCTGGGATGTATTTAAGTGTCATTTTAGAAAGTGTGAAAGAAATTAATAAAAAAGAATTCTAAAGATACAAATTCATTGTGCCACTCTTTATGCATGTCCATTAACTAAATAATGCATTTAGGTGACCATTTCGAATTCAGCAACGTGTCATTAGGTAGCAAGCTCCATGATTCTTAATAATAGAAAGTTTCTGGCTATAAACTATAAAAATATGGCTGTGTAATTAAATTTCTTTTTCAGCCTAATTGTATTAGCATTTTTGAAGTAGTGATGACTTGAAAATTCCTTTTCTCAATACTAGTATCATTCCTCTCACCTAGCCAGCCTTCACATTAATTTAGGGCCCTAGTCTCTCTGTTTTTAACACTCTGCTAAGAACTTTCTTCTATATAAAAACAAACCGGGAATGTGCCAATGTGATTCTAATCTCTTTGAATTGCTGTTTTATGACTGTATCTTTATTGAAAAGCAGCCCTAAAAATATTTTAATTGCTGAGAAAAAAAATAGACCCTGAATCCTTTTCATCTACTTTCCCTTCAACTTTGTTCCCTGTACATAAGGGGTAATCATTAAAATTTCTGCTCCTAAATAAAGTGAATTTCCTATAGTCAAGTTCTCTACTGCTGATTGTATATGCAAACACTAGCCTGTGCCTTACCCAATAGTTTTTTCTGTAAAGATGGATATGATTTATTTTATCATTTTTAAGGAATATTAGTGATAACAGGTTAGTGGCTGATTTATATTCACACTTTAGGTGACCAATTGAGTGATCTTGACTTATTTATTTAGAAATTAAAAGAATTGGCTATAAAAGCTCTTCTTAGAAGATAAGAGAATACAAGAGCAAAAAGTGAGGAGAGAAGAGAAATTATTGCTCTGGTTTTGTTTCTCTTTCTTTTTACTGATCAGTGTGATGGAGTACAGATAGACTTAATAAACATCTCTCTGGAAGGAATTGCAATTCTGAATATACCAAGCATGCATGGAGGATCCAACCTTTGGGGAGAGTCTAAGAAAAGACGAAGCCACCGCCGAATAGAAAAAAAAGGATCTGACAAAAGGACTACACTTACAGACGCCAAAGAGCTGAAGTTTGCCAGTCAAGGTAAGTTTTCTAAAATTAGAGATTTTTCCATTGAAGATGAAAGGCTATAAATCTATACTCTTGTACAGTTTATATTATCCAGTTTGAGTAAGTGGTTATATTGTATCATGAATGAACTGGTTATATTTATCTTAGGTTGGTTTTTCTTGTTCTCTTTTGAAGGTAGTCCTTCCTTCAGAAAAAAAAATCATGTGAATATTTATTGAATACTAAAGAAGTATGTGTTATAGATTAAAATCTTCTACCACTTTCTCTGTGGGAGAAGGATGGCCATTCTCCTCCTGCGTGATTTACTGTCTCTGAAAACCTGCTGGAGGGTCAGTGAGGAGTCCGTTCCAACTTAATGACAAACAACTACTGTTGAGTAGTCAACATCTAGAATGAGCTTATCTTGGTCAGGAAATATGAAGCTAACACAACGGCCATGCTCAGGCCTTTCTAAGATCTGCTTGGAGATAGATTATTTTTCACTTTCTTTAAACAAACTATGATATTGGGGTGATCTCACATTAAACTATTATTCTAAGGACCACAACTATGTTCATAGCATATTTAAATATATAAAATATATTGTGTTATCAATTGATAGTTTTCCAAAAAGTTAATAGTAGGAAAGAGAACTGGAAAACAGAGGACAAAGGATTAATGAAGCAGAACTAAATAGCTTTGGATCAAGGTGCTGCCTTCTGTACAGATTTCCAGTCCAAAAGTGATATGTATCAAAATCATAAACCTCAGTGTGATAAAGGTTACATTGGTACATAAAGCTATTTCTTGTTGATAGATCTTTTTATTAACAAGGATAAAAACCATGGTGCTATTTTAATCACTGATCATACTTTAATATATGTCATATTTTTCTTTTACCTTCTATGATTTACTGGAAACCATTGATGGCATTGAGATAGAGAGGGAAATACATTGGTTCAGCTAAATGTTATCAAGGAGATATTTTAAAGAGACTATAACGTTGAGTCCATTAAAAACACTAGATTAAAATAAAATACGATTGCTTTAGGTGCACTTAGTAATAATGATGGGCATGTTGATTGTATTTTGATGTCACCAGATAATTGAAGTTACAGTAGCTGGTCGTGACTGCTATTGTATGGAGTTTAGTGACCATGCTGGTTGCAAAGATTGATGGTGTAATTACAGTCAGTCAATTATGGGAGGTTTGGTGACTGTAGGTAGTCTCAAAAAAGTGGTCTAATTTGATAGATGCAAGCATCTACCAAAGCAATGACAGTGTTTTTATACTCATGAAAGAGATATAACTGATTGGAAACACAGAGGAACTTTGTTTTAGGGGCATAGAACATAGAAAAGAAGGTGCATAGTAGGTTAGTTTTAAAATGAAGTGAAACAAGTTGTAATAATTTAACTCTTAATAATATTTAAGAATTCAACTCCACATGTCGGCATCAGTTGGATCTGACTCATAATTGACCCTCCTCCAGGTTTTCAGAGGCTATATATTTCACAGGAAGAGAGTGCCATTTTTCCTCCCTTATGAACCCACTGGTAGATTTGAAGTGCCAGACAAATGAGGTCCTTGGAACAGTGGGCACAAAGCCCTGTGGCTATGCCACTAGTGGATCCACATATAATTCTTTTCTAGGAATTATTTACAGTATTTTATTTATCTTTCTTTGTACAGGAAAAAAGATTTCTAAAAAGAGTAATTAAGAAATTAAGTGATTTATTAGTTCAAAGATCATACAAGAGCCAAATAGAAAAAATCTACTGACTATATGTGCTACATATTTTGTAATTATGCATATGTGCTCATTTCTGCCTTCTCTGAAAATGTTTTGTACAGTGTAGATGTACAAACCAATTTCCAGGTTTATTTTTCTATTTAATCCTTACATCTCTATACTTGGCATGTCCTTTATACGTTGAACAACAGTTTCCAGATATTTATCTGAATTCATTCTCAATGGTTCAGCTGCCAGCTCCATTCACCTTCTGGGCTGTTTGAATGTTCGTAAGACATGTGGTTATATTGCTCCAAGACAAGTGTCTGTACAACCCAGAGAGCTGTTGCGACTTACCATTTGCCTGGTTTCATTCCCTAATTTTGTATGTTTTTTTTTTTTCAGCAATATATATATTTGGTATAAAGCACAGGCAAATCAGCCATAGGTGTTATACTGTCAGTGCAATAGCTCTGGGCAAAGCTCTCTCACATCAGCCCGTATCCTTGCATTTTGGTCTGGAACTCTAAGGATCATGCTCTGCTTATGAAATAGCAAAGAGGATTTGCTGCTGCTTCTTGTTGTCGTTAAGTGCCATTGAGTTGACTAGGACTCTTAGCGACCTCCTCACAATCTCTGCTATACTCAAGCCCATTTTTATGGTTTCAATGTCAATTCATATTGTTGAAAGTCTTCTCTTTAGCTGACCTTCCACTATTTTCTTAGGAATACATATGTGTTTGTGTGTATATGACTAATATTTCAGTACATAGATGAAGAAACAGCAGAACTCGGGGTTTTTTAAAATCACAGTATGTATAAGCAAGAACAGAATAATTTAATGACTAATTTTGTTCTATTTTTAAAATTATACTTATAGTTTTAATTGTATTTTATTTTGGGGTACTAGCTGTCAGTAGATTAGGAGATGTATTGCACTGGGAATGTCTGGAGTTAGATACCTCTCAAAATGAGGACCAATAATGCCAGTGTAAAGACTAAGTTGCACCTGATCAGACCTGATATGCTACTGAGAGCTGGATAATGAATATGGATGACAGAAGAACTGAAGTTTTTAAGTAGTGGAGAATAGTGCTGAATACCCCCTGGTCTGCCAAAAAAACTGGTCTGTTGGGGAGCATGAACAGCCAGGGTGCTTCTTGGAAGCAGAGATGATCAAGCTTCATCTCACATACTTTGGGCATGTTACCAGAAGATGGACATCATGCTTGGAAAGGTAGAAAACTAGTGAAAGAGAGGAAGACAGTCAACCATGTGATTGAAATAGTATGATTGTAGCAATGAACTTGATATTAAGACAGGGTTCATGTCTGTTATTTGTAGGGTTTTTATGAGTTCAACTCAACTCCTCAACACCTCAAAACAGCACACTTCAAATTATAGGGGTAAATTTGATTTTTTTTTTTTTTAGAAAAACCCCTAACTTAAAACTGGCAAAGTAAAAAATACCAAAGCAGATGTGGAACATTGGATTTTCATTTTTAAAAAGCAATATATGATCAGGGGTTTCTGTATATTTAATTTGCCAACCACATTCGAGAACATTCACAGTTTACAATCTAGTGCACTTGATACTTGGGAATTTACTGTTAACTTATTGAAGAATTGTGAAAAATTGTAGTTCACTTAATTAAACCATTGTTCCAGCAAAATATTCTAAAAACAGTTTGATGTAATTCTGAAACATATTCATACTCATGCTCATGCACTTCTAATTCTGAAGACATTTTCCTCGCTATTTTATTAAAATACATAGGAGTGTATCATATCTAAACATAATCTTTAAGCAAAATTGTAACATAGACCAGATTGGTCTTCAGTCCTCTTAGTCTCCTTAATATTCAATCATCTTTCCCATTTCCTTTCACTACTGAGTTCATTTTTTCCTCCCCCTTTTCTGAATTAAATCCAAACTTCAGAAAGATGTCTAATAAATTCATTCACGTTAATGTATAAATGACTGATTGCAGATGAAAGTAGAGGTATTTGCATTTTAAAAGAAATAAAGGCCTTCAGCTAAAACATTATTTTTCAAATTGTGTTCCATTGAGTTATAACAGCAATCTTTCAATAGTTCTGTAAAAACTTGATTCAGATTTATTATTGTCACACATTTGAAAAATTAGGAAATAAAGAACAACTATAGTAAACACAAAGATTAAGTTGTGCCCTATAAAATTATTTGTATTATTAATGATTCTCAAATCATCAACTTGTATTACCAAATAAGTATCTGTGTGTGCCCAATGAGGAAGCAGCGTACAAATGAGTTTATTACCATCACAGCACATGAATTTCACATGCAGTTAAAAGGCTGCCAAACTTAGGGGACTCTATTTTCCACATGCTTTAAAGCCGGCATAAAAATCCATACCAGTGCCTATTTTCCTATTTCACCAAAATCATAATAAAATATGTTTTAACCTCCATGAAAGTGAAAACAAGTGATAATAGCAATGTATTAAATACAAATGTAAATCCTATTTTGGAAATGTGCTTGGTTATAAAGAAATCTACATTAGTTAAAACATCTCTAAAAAATGTTAGTCATATCTATTTCTTTATTAAGTTGAGATTTAAGCACCCTTACAGCTGTCACCTTAGAAAAGCAATGACATTAAAACTTAACCTGTCAGCTAAATACAGAATAAGAAAACCAAATAGGTGAAATTTTGAAGTATCTGACAGAGTGCAAGTAGCAATATATCATTCTTTTTTCTTGAAAGAGTTGAAAAGTTATATTCTAAGATACCTTTAGAATGAATATTTTTAACCAGATAGTAATGACTTCTTGATGACTATAAGCACTATGTTAGTTGTTCAAATTGTAATTTTGTTCAGACAAGCCTATTTTTCCGCTTTCTAGTATCAAATCAAGAGCAGAGGTTTACAAACGAGGTATATAAAGTTCACTCTATTTACAGTTACATTTCTTTCTAGATCAAGATATCCCAATACTATAAACCAAACCATAGTGAAGAAATTAATTAAAAAATGAGTCAAACATTGCAAATAACTTGTTTCTTAACTCCTTATTTAAAATAGCCCCATTACTCATAAATTGTACTGAAAATGTTATTTAAGAAATTTGAAACACATTGTGCAACGTAATTATAGTTAAAACTTTCCAAAAGGTAGGATACAGCTGGATTTCCAGCTTGAAACCAGGGCGAACAGGGTCTTCCTCATTTGCATACAAAAACAGTCAGACTGTCCATCCTGTAAAAGTTTATTTTTAAAACTAATGAGCGTATTACAGTATTTCAAAACAAACACCCT